AAAAAAAAAACATCTTTCCGTCGAATATGGCCAACCCTGTATATGGAATAAGGTTGCCGAAATCGTACTTTTCACTTAAAGGTTCATAACTCAGAAATTATGAACATTCTTAAATTTTTTATAACATAAACTGCATTCTTTTCCTTTCCTTATGTAATTTTTTCATAATTTTTTTGCGCTATTATAACATTGAAAATGAGAATTTTTTTCAGAGAAAATTCGTTGCCTAAATCGCACCATGCCAATATTTTTCATTTAAAATATTACAATAACGTAAAAAATTAAAAAATTATGATTTTTATTTTTTAAATGACGCATTAAACGTGTGTTTTTATACATTATACAGGATGTTCCAGAATTTTCACATATAGAAGAACAATATTTTCCTTTGGCAGAATTAGTTTGGGCAATAGTTTTTAAATTACAATTATTTATTATGGCTAAAATTTTAGTTGCTTCTTTTGACATAAAGAATTGTACTGTGCATTCCGTGTGCACAAATTCTAAAAAACATTTATTTAATATACAAGAAATATATAACGCAAGTATTAACAAATAATAAACTGGCAAATAATCAAGTAATGCTAGTTAACGTTAAGGCTTCTGAGTAATCATCACAGGCCACATTGAATCGTGATGTCAGAAGCGAGAAATGGCACGTTAATTTTTATTACATGCCATTTATAAATAAAGACATTTATAAATAAAAACAAAATGATCGAGATTGCTTTAAAACATTTGTAAAAATGGACGAAAAAATATCCTCCCTGACAGTCAGTAAATAATCGTAAAAAGTAATAAAAAGCATGTAAGTAAAAATATAAGTTACGCTATCCAAATTGTCTTTATTTATAAATGGTACGTAATAAAAATTAACATGTCATTTCTCGCTTCTGACGTCGCGATTCAATGGCTGTGATGACTACTCAGGAGCCTTAAAAATAAAAATAAAACAAATATTAATTATTAGTTTGTTTTTACTGTTAATAAATTGACAAATGGTAGGATTGTTTAACTGCAGATATCTGACGCCGGGGTTTAATACATTTCGAAATGTCAACGGACGTCGGTGGAACATGTTGCAACTCGCGACAAAACGATATTGTTCAGCCATTGCTCACAGGTATGTAACGGAAGAAAAAGGGATGATACGCGCTTCGCGAATTCCGCCTCAGTTATTTGGTCAAGTTAACCTCAGTTTCGTCGCTTTCGTCTTCGATGGTCCTTGGGAATGAATCATCTGCATGAGAGACTCGACCTGTCGCAAAGAGCGATGTTCGCTTTCCAGAAAATGCGTCCTGGACATCGTCTACGCGACAAACGGAAACGAAAACGTGTTTCATGAACAAGAGTAGCGGAGTCGCGTTTTCTCCAACGCAAAAGATTTATTCTTTTTTTCTTTTCTACTTGAATGATTGACAATTTCCTCGACGCCACGACAACAAGATAGCGTGAAACGAGAAGATCATACGGGAACAAAGTATATACGGAATTGTTATGCTAAATTGTACATGATGGTGTTCTTGCCGAACGGAAAGGGTCACTCGTATAACCATGCGAATACAAGTATAGAAAGCGTGATTATGTTTGTAAATGTCCTGATAATGATATAAGCCACACCAACATCTTTTGCTGGCATTTATGTTTGTAATGTGAATTTGCTTAGAATATCATTTAACAGATAGAAGGATTTTTTATATACAAAATAAATAACAATAAATAAAGTAAGAGTCAAACACATTTTAAATTGTAGCACAATTAAATAGAATATATTACAAATAAAGAAAAATAAAAATAAAAAATAGTTTAACATTTGAATTTTAAACTGTTTTTTATTTTTATTTTTCTTTATTTGTAATATATTCTATTTAATTGTGTTACAATTTAAAATGTGTTTGACTTTTACTTTGCCCTTTATTTATTGTTATTCATTTTGCTTAGAATATTTTTTCACAAAACTGCTTTCACATGCAAAAAGATACGCGTGTTATCTTCGGTATGCACTGCAAAACGTAGTCTTGGAGATAAAGCGACGATATGGAGACGTGACAATTTTCCCGTCAGTAAAAAGCGCGATATTAACACAGTTGATATTTAATTATGAAATATTGAAGGTACAATTTGGCATAAAGTGTCAGTAAACGCGATTTGTTTCTTATGTAACTTTCTCTTTTTTTTAATTGATATATCTATAATCAGTTCTCCGTAATATTTTTAAGATGACACTGAATTTTTGAACGTTTTTCATGTTCTAAGTTTTATTTCTCATTTACTGAAGGACAATGCTTGTTTTTAGACTTATATCAAATTACTATGGCTTATGCCTATTGGAAGAGTGGTAACTACGCTGTATTTGATTTATTCTTCCGCAAGAATCCTTTTCAGGGAGAATTCACGATCTTCGCCGGGCTTGAGGAATGCATAAAGTTTTTAAAGAAATTTCGTTATTCTTCTAGTGGTATTTGCTGAAGCTATTTACAATGCATATATATATATTTTATAAATTACATTATATAATATCTTATTTTTGGCGTCACAGATATCAAGTACTTGAAGTTGATTATGCCTACAGTAGACCAAAGATTCTTTGATTATCTACAAAGTCTCACTGCAAGCAATGTCACAATATACGCCATAGATGAAGGATCGGTCGTATTTCCAAAGTGAGTTTAGAAATATCTTTCTCATTCTCTCTCTTGAAAAGTCAGTTAGAGATACAATAATTTTAGTATTTTAGAAAGTTATATCATTGCAAGAGAAATATGAATTTAAAAAATATTTAATAATTTAAGTAGTCACCACAGCCATATTGAATCGTGATGTCAGAAGCGAGAAATGACACGTTAATTTTTATTACATGTCATTTATAAATAAAGACAATTTAGGTAAAACAAAATGATGAGATTGCTTTAAAAATGGACGAAAACTATGCTCAAGTAACGCAACTAAGTCAAAATGTCGTTTTGACATCATTTTGATATTATCGTGACTTGTGCATACTGTTACTTGGGCATAGTTTTCGTCCATTTTTATTCTCCGCAACAGTCAATAAATAATCGTAAAAAGTAGGCACATTAAGTGCTTTTATTCAATGTGCATGCCGTAGCTTATTTTCACTTACACGTAATCTGTAAATACTGACTTATAAACGGCATGTAATAAAAATTAACGTGTCATTTCTCGTTTCTGATATCATAATTCAATATGGTTGTGATGGCTACTCAGAAGCTTTAATTAATGTTTATTGCAATTTTAATTTATTGTTTGCTTAGATGTAATTGTTGATTTTAATTACAGAATTCCTTTGATGAGAGTGGAAGGATCATTAATAATGGTACAGCTCTTAGAAACAACTCTGTTAACATTGGTCAACTATGCTAGTCTAATGGCGACCAACGCAGCAAGATATCGCATGATGGCTGGGAAAAACATAATGTTGTTTGAATTTGGTCTCCGAAGAGCGCAAGGACCTAATGGAGGATTGAGTGCATCTAAATACAGCTATGTTGGTAAATACTTTGCTTATGCTTATTAAATTTATTATTATTATTATTTAATTAGTGTAATAAAGTACAAACTGCAATTATATTATGAATTTAATGAGAAGTTACAGACCGCATTTTTCATGTTTAAAACAAAATGGTTACTGTATTAACTCTATTACATAAAATGAGCTTCAAAAATAATATTGAATCCAAAATATTCCATTGTATAAGAAATTTGTGTTAATTGCCACTAGTATCAATTGCTGTTTTTTTTTGTATTGCATTATACTAACTGTGCATAGTAATTGTACAATGTTGCAATGGCCTGCATATGAGCGTAAAAGTATATATAATGATATCGACGCCTAATGCCAATTTTTTTTGGTGGAAATGGGTATAAGTCGTAGAAGGTGCTATCGAGAAAAACATAAAGAAAGATTTATGTCAAGAAATAAAGAAAAAACGGTCTATTTCGCATAAGGCGTGAAGATCGGTGTATATCGAAACGCATACGAAATATAGTTTATATAAAAAAAGCGAGAAGAACGGTTCAAATCGCATGAAGTTAAAAAGAAGAGGTTATAAAGCGCAATATATTTTCTTCTTCTCTCTATAAAAAAATTTTATAGTGGTATGTCTGAATCGTCTTAATTTTCAATCCTGTTTCTCGATAAGATAAAGACTATATAGTTTCAACTCGATACATACACAACATATATGCGCGCAACATATATGTCTCATGTGAAACTGCTAAAACTAATTAACTATTATTTTTAAATGCTTGTAGGGTGCGAGTCAACTAAAATATTTACAAACGGAGAAATCATTGGCAGTTTTAATTTAATATTTAAATATGGACTAAAGACAATCGGAAATATTTTCATTGTTTAACAAATGTTTGTAAAAAATTGACTATATAACGCTAATATATTTTTAAAACTGCGAACATATTTTAATATATGAAACGTAAGCAAATTAAAAATTAGAAACATTTAAAATTTAATTTTCAGTAATTAACACGTATTTACATTATATTATGCACGAATTAAGTGATAATTTATATATTGTTTGTAATAATTTAATATTTATAAAAATTTTTTTGTCAACATTGAGAATGACTCGATCGGTGTCGAAACGTTTGTTTTGTTGTTTCATATTTTCATATTTATATATTTTCTTCGTTTTATATCTCTGGCTCATAGTCCTTCAAAAATTTTGATTTTATTTAAAATTTCAATTAAGTTAGAAGTAATTTATTATGTTACAGGTGGATTTGATGGGACTAGTAATGTCTTGGCTGGGAAGCTGTTCAATATACCTGTACGTGGCACACATGCACATTCATATATCACGTCTTTCACCGACATCAGCGATCTTCAAGAGAAAGTAGATATATTCAACACGAATTTCCTCTAAGTTAATTAAATTAACTTTAATAAATGTTAAATTGAAATTCTGCATAATATAACTGAAAGGAAGAAAAAAAAGATTGATCTGTTTCTCTCGCAGACATTGGCGCATAAGCAAACGGGTGGCATTTTAGATGTATTGGAACTCGCTTGTAAGTATCGCGAGGCTGTTGCCGACGATTTGGGAGTTTCAGCTTCTCAGGCGTCTGATGGAGAATTAGCGGCTTTGATCAGTTATGCCATAGCTTTCCCGGAAAGATTTACTGCTCTTGTGGACACGTATGATGTTAAGAAGTACGTAATTGTGTCGCTCGTTTATTTAATGCTTTTAAGTAGAAAGCTCAATGTTTATTTTTTAAATTGGCATTTTTCAAGCTTTGGTTAATTTTCTTTCGATGCACACTCGTCTCAATTTTACATTAATGTATGGGATTTGGATAATACTTTGTTGTTTATATTTATTTCTTTTATATTACTAGTATACTATATTTCACATATATTTCACATATATTTCACAAATAGCTTTATTATGCTTTTGATTATTTTATATATACATATGTGTTATTTCAATAATTTTATACAGTATATATAGATATTTATGTTGCATATGTAGTATTTAAATTAACAAAAAGTGAAGATATTTTAGGAATAAATCTTTAAAATTGATTATTTAAAATAAAAATGATTTAAAATATTGTAGGCACATATTTTGAGACATTACGTATACTGTGCACGTCAATTGCTGTCAATGCATGAATTAGCTTATATTTTTTATGTATGCAGTAGAGAGAGTTTGTGACACACATACATTTAATTATGCATAGATGTAGAGTATACTATATATAATTTGTAATATGTATCATAATTATAATTTCAAAGATCAAATGTTATAATTTTTACTATAAAGTTTCTTTTTTTTGTCTCGTATATACTCATCTTCTACTTAAAGAAATGAAAAGTAATTAACGTAAATCCATATTTCAATGAGACAGAAGTATATTCTTAATTCGATATCATTAGCGATTCTATAATTTAGTTTTGTCAGCGCGAACAGGCACGATGGCATGCGTATACACACTGCGGCTTAACAGGAGTGTGTTTGTAACATTGAGACATCAACTAAAACTTCTATAACTTCGCAACTTTACAAGAATGGCTTTTTAGATGAGGCGGATTGGGTGAGCTCTGTATAAGCTCTACATCGTTCTGTTTGCCTGTTTTGCGGAATGCAATGCTTTTTCTTCCTTCTTTTTTTCAAATGCTTTGCGAATCATATTTTAATTTTTTTACACCACCAAAGCCTATTCCTTCATAAGTAATATTATAGTTGCATTTAGTGGGATATATAGAAAGTTATTTTGATATATTTCTAGAACTTGAAGCTTCTTTGAATTTTAATAGCTGATAATATATTAATTTAATTTACTCCTCTATTTTTCACTTAGAAAAGGTTGCAAATATACTGTAAAATGGACAAATTGCAAATTATCGTATCACGCTACTTCTATGACGTGCCAATTAGAGATAAAATAACCAAAATCTTATTTTTCATTAGAATTTAGTTGTTAGCCATTATATATTTGTAATGCCCTTCCCAATTCTGCTCTTTAATTCTTTCGAAAATTGACATGGACACATTTTATATGTTACACAAATATATTATATATTGATAAATATATTATATATTATATATTTTGTTATTTAAACATATATGCAATTTCGTCGCGAATTTTTGTCACAAATTTAATATACAAAACTGCCACACTACTAAAATATTATACAAAAGAAAATGTATTCTAAAAAAAAAATATATTTGTAAATAAAACGTTACATTTATCATGACATGTTTATATCATCGATATATGTAATGTTTATATACCAATTGGCTATATATTTGTATATTTGCTAGAATATCATATACTTTTTTTTATTGGAAACGTAACTTAATGACAATACAATAATTGGTTGAAATACTTTTTACTCTCTTATGTTATCTATTTATACTATCTCTATTTATACTAATTGTGAATGCGCAAGTTTATGTAGTTGTACTTATTTTATTGTGTGCTTAATCTTTTGTGTGCAATGTTTCTTGATTCTAAACTTGACAAATCTAAAAAAATAAATTTAATAATACTCTTGAAGCTTCCACTTTCTATATAAAGATTATGCGTTTCGCAGGATTCCTCCAATGTTTCGTGAACCTTGCAATCCACTTCATCAGGGCGATAGTATCAGGCTGCTTTTCGCCCTGATGAAATGGACCGCAAGATTCACGAAACGTTGGCATTTCAAGAATGGATCTGGATACGGAGGAAACTCGTATAATCTTTATAAAGTAAATTTAATGTTGCAAAAAGTAAAAGTAAGTGACAGAAATTCATTTTTTAATTTAAATTGAAACGGAAATACAAAGAATTTATTTTCACACACAGAATACATTGCCAAGTTTAGGCTTTATTTTATACAATTGTTATTAAATTATAATAGCATAAAAAGTGTGACAAGATTGCTTTTTAATTAATTAACTTAGTTGATAGATAAACTAGATTAGTGTTAGTTACTTAGATATCTCATGGATATGTACAATATTTTATATATATCCAAATAGGAGCGGTTTGTTAAACTTCTGTGCAGTAGCGTTAGCTTTGAACAACTTGGGATATAAAGCTATCGGTATCAGGATTGACAGCGGTGATTTAGCATATCTTAGTAACGTTGCGAGAGATATTTTCGAGAAAATTGCCATCAAGTACGACATACCGTGGTTTGCAAAATTGATGATTTGCGTGTCCAACGATATCAACGAACAGACTATAATAAGTTTGAACGAGCAGGTAAAAATTTACAAATCGCGAATGTAAAAAATATATACTCTCTAAATCTGAATCAGTGGAGAGTCACTAATTATCCAATGGCATACTTGGCACTGATATATAATCAATGAAGTTCAACTAAAAAAAGAAAGAATGTTTGAGTATAATTAAAATATTGATATTTGCACGTTAATTTTAATTTTCCAATATCATACTCATTGAATTTAAATACTAAAACAAGTTAGTTAGATCACATAATAAAGATTAGCTAGGTTAAAGATCTCACATTTAATTCACTGATTATCAGTGGCATATTTGGCACTGATATCAGTGATTATCCACTGATTCAGATTTAGAGAGTAATTAAAAAAAAAAATGAATATTTTCCAGGACCATAAAATTGATTGTTTCGGGATTGGAACACATCTTGTAACATGCCAAAGACAACCGGCTCTGGGATGCGTTTACAAAATGGTAGAAATTAATAATAAGCCGAGAATCAAACTGAGTCAAGAAGTTGAAAAGATTACAATACCAGCCAGAAAAAATGCTTATAGACTGTACGGGTCGGATGGCTACGCATTGATAGATCTTTTACAGTTAACAACAGAAGATCCACCGCAAGTAATGCAGAAGATTCTCTGTAGGCATCCGTTTCAGCAAACAAAAAGATCTAATGTTACACCATCCCGAGTGGAGTCTCTGTACAAGGTAGATATCATCTAGTTAAAATAATAAGTTTTCAATATAATTATAATAAGTTTGGCTATTATAGGAATTAGCGCTGTAACTATGTGCGCGATAAATTTCAATATTATTAAATTGTATCTCTCATATTTAATTAATAATTCGTACATGTTTTGGCTAACTTTTTAGCCATCTTTAGTATATTCAGATGAATCAATGGTAAACAATAAAGATGTATAAAACGATAGCATCCACATATTTTTGCCATTTAATATCCGCAATGTTTCCATGTGAGATGATCAATCAACTATTTATTGGAGAGAAGACGCAACCAATTAATTAGCAGGATGGTATAACAATGGTTAAGCGCCTTTAAGTGATTTACAAAGTTTATTCATAAATTCTAAATATAGCCGTTATTCATCTCTATCAAAACACTGCTGATAAACGTCATTGATATAACAATTTAGTCAATTAATAATTAAAATAGTTTCGCAATAAAAATTTTGTTCATTTAGCACCGAAGTGAACTGTTATCTTGTTAAACTTAAACTATGAAATGTTAGGGTTTTTTTCGAAAGTCTTTACTGAATGTTATGTGTCAAAATTATGTAGTTAAGAAAATTAAAGCACTTTTAGGATCGGTTCATATGTCCTAAACTATCGTTTTTATATTATTGCTTATCATAGATTCATCTATATACTAAAGATTGTTAAAAAGTTAACCACCAACCAAACCAAAAAAAAAAAAACATATACGCAAAATTATTAATTAAATACGAGAAATACAACTTAATAATATTGAAATTTCAAAATATTAGGCATTTTAGAAAAATTGTCAAATTATTCAAGTATTCAAACAACTTCAAGTCAAAAAAATATATATTCGATTATATCAATCCTTAGTAATTCTCAAGGTACTAAAATTTTACCTTATATGGTGTTGGATTCAAGTTTCTTTTATGATCGTTACGTAATGAATTGAGAGATAATAATATTGAAATTTATCGCGCACATAGTACGTAACGTTAATTCTCAATAGCCAAACTTATTATAATTATATTGTTTATATCAAGGGATTAAGATTATCATTCATTTAAATAAGTTTTCAATTAAAAATGAAATTTAGACCGATAAAAATAAATCAAATAAAAAAAATATATAATTTTCAAATTATACTACATAATATATTATAGATAATAATATATGAATGTTTGAAATTTTATATTCTGTACAGTTTAGATTTCCTCGATCAATTTATAGTTAATTTAAATTTTTCTTTTGTAAATTTAATTATTCCATTGCACTGTTTTTATATAACTATTTTATAAACTATTTGTCATTATTTTATAAGTGACTTTATACATATTATTATTGATATTATTGACGTTAATAATATTTATAATACTTATAATAAGTAAAAACATCTTATAGATATACTGGAAAGACGGCAAATTGTGTCAGCCATTACCTACTTTGGAAGAAATCCGCAACAAAGTGCAAGAATCTCTCAAAACATTGCGTAACGATTATAAAAGAAACTTGAATCCAACACCATATAAGGTAAAATTTTAGTACTTTAAGATTAAAATTTTTGTTTAGTCTTTGATACTAAGGATTGATATAATCGAATATAGATTTTTCGACTTGAAGTTTGACTTGAGTAATTCGACAGTTTTTCTAAAATGCCTAATATTTTGAAATTTTTAGTTCAGATATTATTAAAGTAGATACTATTGTTCATGAAAATCTCGAAAAAATGTACGATAGATTATATAAATATGTTTTTTTTCTTAATGCCTGTTACAGGTAGCTGTCAGTGATACTTTATATAGATTTATAAACGAATTATGGTCTCAGAATGCGCCGATTGGAGAATTACGGTGAAGCATATTACTTTTATACAAGAGTATCGTTAAACTCTCTAGCAACTATAAATACAGAGTAATAACAGAATCAAGAATCACAGATTTGAGCTGCGTTCGGCAATGCAAATCCGAGATGTCGGAATGCTCTTATAGCATATGTCACGTGTACTGTAAAAAAAAAGCACTCCGACGCCTCAGATTTGCATTACCGAACGCAGCTTTGCTAAGGAAATGCATAAGTCTTTTTTTTCAAAAACAATATAAGAGTAACATATCGTTGTAATCGAGCATATATGTATATATCATAAATGTGATTGTATCGTGGAATGTAATAACAAAAAAGAAAGAGCAAGGATCTTAAAGAGCATTTTTTACATTTTCCATTTTCCATTGTTGAAAATATCGAATTATCACCATCGCAACAGTATATTTTGATAAATCTTGCGCAAACAATCGTTTATAATATATTACCGATGTGAGCCTGGCGTCCAACTTTATCAAAAATAAAAATTAATACCGTAACGCGTTTGTATTTCATTTGTACCTGTTTGTACCGATCATCATTTCGTTTGTACCTCAAACAGCTTCTCAAAAATCTTAAAATTGCGCGCTGATCATTTTTTTATTTTTTACCTTTTGTTTAACTGTTTGAGATACAAATGAAATAATGATCGGTACAAACGAAATACAAACGCGCTACGGTATTAATTTTTATTTTTGATAAAATTGGGTACCAGGTTCATATCGGTTAATATATTTGTATAGTTTTACGATTTATATAGAGCAAGATATTCCGTTACAAAAATCTATTTACGAGCAGTAGCTTCGCACACATACGTATTTTTATTCTTATTTTTAAAAAAAGTACAAAATAGTATACAAAAAAGTTGTGTGTGTATGTGTGTATGTGTGATTTTAGGCATGCATAATTCAAATTTCCTAGTCATGATTAACACCATAGAAAATAAATTCTATAAATTAAGATTATATATGTATATACATGAATGATAGATAGAATATAAAATACCAGATATTTCCAATTTTAATTTTTGAAGTTAATTATATTACATCATGATTGTAAGCTATTATCAGATCCAAAAAAATTTTATGAATTTAATTTTAAATAATGGTTTCTTTTTAAATACATTGATTTAGATCTTTTATATGTATGACTATTACCATAAATTTGGATGAAAACGTTAATCTTCGCTAACAAATGATTTGTTTTAAAGGAAAAAAAATTTTATACCTGACTACATTTCACTACAACAAACATGGTGCGATGATGAAAATCTAAGTCAATGGTTATAGACTGCTATTTCGAGGATGATATGGAATGATTAGAGTATGTAAGATGTTTTTATCGTCGTTTCCTGCTGCGGTTGAAGAAATGAGGCAGCTACAGCATCCAAGATGGCGAGTATCGTTCCAATTGGATTGGATACTAGATTTTATTCGAGAAACAAGTATGCTTAGCGCCTTTTTTATACTCTTCCGAGGACAGCACGCGATAACATGTAATGTTAATGCGTTAATGTAAGTAATATGTAAGACATAAATTGTGTTATAAACTGATAAAAACTCTGTAGAGTCGAAACTTTTTTTACAATATATAGTCCTTATTTTAAATATATTTTAATTCAAAATCTGCTCGTTATTGGTCGTTTATTATATATTGTTTTGCTGTGTATACATGATTGAAAATACTTCAAAGAACGGCAATATATGGTAGCATAAGCGTTTCACTAAATTTTTATTATTTTAATCACGTTATTGCTGATCTTTCTCTTCTTTTTCTTTTTTTTTGTTATACTTTCTGTCGAGCGCAATGCTGACGCGACATAATATATTAAAATAAACTAAAATAAGATAATAACAATTTAATTGCAACATCACGTTCGACCGTGATGTTACCGCGTGCTGGAAAGGTTCTCGGAAGGGTATAAAAAAGGCGCTAAGCATACTTGTACTCTTCAGCAGCCGCAGCAAGAAATGACGACAAAATTAGTGACGTCTTTACTTTCTCGCAGCACTGCCACAGCTACGATGATTTTTGGAACGACGTTAACAGTGATGCCAGTGTTGGCAAACAATTTTAGAACACAGCTTTTGTAATACGTTTCATGGGACATATAGAAATGAGTTTTGCGTAACGCAACACATTCATTTTATGTACATTCATGTACGTTCAGTGTATACAGTTTCTAAAGTTGCAGTTTCTTTCGTGCATTTGATTTTCTCATTTCAATTTTCATATAGAACTTTGATATTTTTTATTATTTCATAAAACGAGTTGATGTCTTCCGAACCCTAACAAGGATATATCAAATCCTAAAGAAAATTTCTAAAAGATGGATTCTGATCAGCTAGCACTGTTCATTATTGCTTTCCGTAAAAAAATATCGTCAGAAACTTGATCGTTTAGCGGAGATTAAATTAAAAAAAAAAAACTAATTAGGGCTCTGTATTTATTAAATATACTTAAAAATAAAAATAAAGTGATGCAAAAACGAAATTTATTTTCTTCTTATTCTTTTAATATTTATGAAGGTCACACATATTGCCTTGATGTAAAACCGCGTAACATAGTATACTTTAAAATTGTGCACGAGTTTAGTAAAAGCGTAACGACTCGAAAAATGGTCCCCGATTGGTTACATGATACGCATTACGCAGAAAATCTGTGTCATGGGACGGCACCCTTAAAGTTTCTAAGAGCGTTATTTTTATTCTTTGGTCTTCAATTTATAAGTAATAGTAAGTTTATAAGTAAGAGTGATGAAGATAAAATGAAGTTATTACAGCATAAGCGTATGAACGTAGCCATAGAGTTTCTGAGCTAATTAATCGATTGTTCATAAAAAAAATCGATCGCATCATATGACTTGGGCCATGGTCAAAGTCTCGCTACAAATGCTTTGAAGCATTTGATGGACCAATTAGAAGAAAGAATTTTATAAACTGACTAATTAAACAACGCTTCAAAGTATTTGTAGCATCGCGTTGACCATACCTCTAATAACGTGACATGCACAAATGAGTACATACATCTGCCAATAGTGGCGGATTGCTGAAAATTTTAGAGGAAAATTTTAGATTTCATCGGAAGCGCGTACATCAAAATGCGCGCAAAACATCTTTGATGTCACACGTCGAGAACGCAGAGCCTAAAAATGACAGCGGACGTACGAATGAGATAGGTTAGCGTTAATTTTTTCATCTGACAACATCTGATATTTTGTACAAGGTTAATATAATAAATTAACACACATAATTTAAATTATATTTAGTTAACTAAGAAAATTTTATGTGCAAAATAAGATTTTTCAAATTTTCGAAATCTTATTACTCCTTCAAAATAGATAAAATAATTAATAACTTGTGTGTGTGTGTATATATATATATATATATATATATATATACAGATATATTAAAAGTATATTATATAACATTTCATATCACATTGCATTTATTAATAGCGAACGAACGCGATAAATCCGTCGTGCAAGCAAGTCCGGAAAGTTCTGTCAATGTAGAGATATCAGCATCCAGTCGGATATCACTATCCAAAACGAGTCAATTATTGGATAACATAAAATCTGATCTAGAAACGGAGGAAAATGACGAGAAATGTGACGATATATTACAAGATAAAGATAGTATGTATTTTTATTATTAAATTCTGTATCTCTATTTTATATCAAAGGAAATAATTACGTTATAATTCATATTAGAACATTAATAACTATTAATCTCTGTCAGATGATTTTAAAATAAGTGGCATCATATTAGAATAAAATAATTTCAGACACATGTATTGCCTCAGGCGACATTTGTAGAATCTGTCACATGGGCGGATATGCCCCTAGCGCGGACAACCATCTATCACCATGTAACTCGGAAAATCTGATTGATCAGACATCGATTCTGTCAAATTTTGTCGGTCCTTTGATTTCAGCTTGCAAGTAAGTTTTCGTTTCATTCGAGAAAGCTAATTAGAAAAAGCTAAGATAAATTCAACAAATACATTTACAAGTTTTACAGATCTCAGATCTCTGATTTATCATGTAAGAGAATTATTTTCTCTCCTTTTTCTAACATAATATTAAAAATAATGTTTTCGAGGGAAAACATAATATCGAAAATATTATATTTATCTTTGGAAAGTAATTTTTTCTTGGATATTAATATTTTCGTATTATTTGCCGATTTACATATCGACGTGTATCTTTTAGAGTGATATTTCTACTATACATCTCTCGTTTTTCGTAATTTTTTTTCTCATAGTATTAATTAGACAAGACAAGACTTACATTTCATTCAACATATCATTGATTTAAATTTTGGAAAAATTAATATCCAATTTGTTGGACATTAATATTTTCATTTAAGATTGGACATTAATATTTTTAAGTTATCAACGATATGTCAAATTAAATTCTCAGACAAGACTTACATTTCATTCAACATATCATTGATTTAAATTTTGGAAAAATTAATATCCAATTTGTTGGACATTAATATTTTTAAGTGATCAACGATACGTCAAATTAAATGTAAGACATGTGTGTGCCTGAGAATTAAGAAAAACATTGAAAAAAAATTTCAATCAGAACAAGAAACGTATCGTAGAAATACCGCTCCGAACGACGCGCGAGTAACATGTAAATCGACAAATTATCATTGTGAATGGAAATCGCATGATAAGAGACTCAGCTTAGTTAAGAAAAGCGGCTGTCCTTTCTCATAAACCTTTAATGGTGCGACAGATGCCGTGGTACAGTGGCTCTGGTGCACGTCGAGTGTCTCGAGAGATGGCTAACCGAGTCCGGTCGTGCGAGATGCGAACTTTGCGGCTACAAGTATGCAATCAGGAGGGTACGGCGTCACACCTTCTTTCAAAGCATCGTAATATGGTTCCGCACCATAATAGCTACTCGACAGGTGAGAGAGATCGTTAACTTTTCCATCTACATTCATTTCAGATACCGCTAGACCTAAAGCTTCTTTAATTAAATCTTTGAATGATACTCTATCGTTAATATATATAATAATATATATAAGATACATTGCATTAAGCATTTTAAATCAATATTAGGAATATTATAAAGCTACAAAATGTTGAATATTATCGCTGCAACGACATAACAAATCATGCAAAATTAAAATTATCTTATAAGTTGTGATAGAACGTTTAATATGATATTTTTCTCCGTGTAATTAGGCTTTTAATTACTCTATTAATTATCTCTACTTAATACGTTCTCTTTTTCGAGAAGATGCTACTTGACATTGGGTATTTGATAATGACCACACCTGTGGCTGTGTTTTCCTGCTATCTGTGCGCCTTGGCTTTGAAAATGTTGATGCGAAATGGCTTTTACGAGATACCCTGGATGATAGTTGCTATGTTGCCAACCTGCTTATTGACGCTGATAGCTTATTGGCGATGGATAATTACGTTAGGGAGGTACGCTATAAAACTTAAATCAGTTCGCGCTCGTGCACGGATAAAAATAGTCGTTAATGGAAATTAGTTAATTAAGGTATTAGCCAGCATAATTGCGTAATTATAAAAAAATTGGAGAAGCTAAAAACTACAAAACCATGTCTCGAAATTAATTTCATTAAAAAAATAACACTGATATTTGCGAGGTTTTTTTTTTGTCTATCCGAATGGTGATTTATGTATTTTTATCTGCTGAAAAAGAATATAAAATAAAAAAAATTCTATCACTCACAGATTTAAAAAAATCGAAGACTATTTTTAAAAAAATTTCACAAATTATTTTGTTTATTATACAATATTATGTTCTTTATTATTTATGTCGTTCGCTCTTTGCCCTTATTTTATTCTATATTATTTTATACGATAGTAAATCAAGAGTTGCATCGAACAAAAACAAGATAAGATTATACTATATTTACTTTTCGAGATTAAATTTATATGCAAGTTTATGCACATGAATATCTTTCCAGAATGGCCGTTGACCCATAATTTTTTTGTGACCATTAAAATCGTAATTTTTTAAACTATTAGAATCTCAATCAATATTTTTGAGGAAAGTCTACGGTAAGATTTCTGTACAGTTAGTTAAAGAAGTGTCTGCAAGCCTTATCTGTCACTAAGTTATACGTGAAAGGCTACATTTTCAACATTTTTTTCTCTCTTATTTCATTGTTAACCTATCATTAACCTACGTAGAATTTTGTACATGTCACTTTCGGTACTTTAACTTCATTATATATGTATACAAAAATTAGATATTTCTATGGTAATTCGATTTACTAAGAAACCACTTTAATCAAAATTATTATTTAATGTAATTAAAGAACAATCTGCTCCGTGTTATCGCAGAGATCAGCGAAATAATAATATATCATAATTATATAAATCGTTAAAATATATTCTTCTCATATATTGCAGATTGCATGGCCATCGATGGAGACGTTACTGGAGAAACAATTTCGTGGTTCGTTTGATTCCCGATAACGACATTGAGAACAGCCTCGACCCGCAAAGCTCGAATGATTATTTTAATGTGCGAGAGGATTTTGAGCAATGGAGACTCGAGGAGAACGACGAATTCGCATGACTTTTGACCTTGTCAACCGCACGCCAGGAATAATCTTTTAATTACGACTATTTTCTATTTTTATATCTTCGTCTTATCGGAATCTTTATACGGCTGCACTATTTAATTGCAATTTATTAATTGGACATTTCAATTGAAGCTCATTGCCGCATAATAAAGGCGATTCACTGTATCAGAGTTAAATTAAGATGCGCATATTTCGGAATGCTTCCAGAAATTCACGCGTGCACGAATTTTATAATATTATTTAAATATCTTGTACTTTTATATAATTCTAATGCTTGATTAAAATAATTTAAAGATTATTGATGTTTTGGCACTCTCATTAAAATGTCTCGTGTAACGAGAGAGAAAAATGTTTGGTAATTCAATTGTATGATAAAATAATTATTATTATAATTAATTAAGAGCTCATACTTTTTATAGTTATTATTCTATAATATTAGAAATAATAATTATATTTATAGTTCTAAAAAACAAATATATAAAAGGTAGTATAAAAGAAGGGCAAAGAGAACCAATAACGTATAAAAGGATTTTAATTTAAATAAGCAAAATTAATACAAAACAATTAAAATAAAATAAATCAAACGTTTCAACTCTAATCGAGTCATTTTCAATGCAATCTTACAATAATATAAACATTGTTCTAAATTAAAAATTCGTACATAATCTTACAATATTCTTACAATTCCTTAATATAAAATCTTTTCTTTCTGTGTAATACGCTGCGAGTCATTTTTATCAAGAATTAACAAAGTCATAAGAAAATTCTTAGTAAATCTGTTAAGAGTCCAATAATACACAACGAGAAAAAACTGTAAAATGTGGTCCATTTCGTGGTACAATAAAATAGTCTTTTTAATTTAATAAGTTATTATAAGCAAGTTCGCAAAGGTAACAAGCATCTGACTTACATGATGTCAAAAAACGAAATCGGACTCTTAACAGATTTACTAAGAATTTTTTTATGACTTTGTTAATTCTTGATAAAAATGACTCGCAGCGTATTACACAGAAAGAAAAGAGAGATTTTATATTAAGGAATTTAAGTAAGAATATTATAAGATTATGTACGAATTTTTAATTTAGAACAATGTTTATATTATTGTAAGATTGCATTGAAAATGACTCGATTAGAGTTGAAACGTTTGTTTTATTTTATTTTAATTGTTTTGTATTAATTTTGCTTATTTAAATTAAAATCCTTTTATATATTATTGGCTCTTTGCCCTTCTTTTATACTACCTTTTATTTATAAGTACAGAGCCTTTTTTATTACTTTTAAACAAATATATGTTGACATGAAAAATAATGATTAATTATAGTTAAATTCTGATAATTGCAACCATATTTTTCTCAATGTGTTGCTTTTAATTGAACAGAAGTGTCACGAACCTGTTCTTGGCATAAATAGTATATGAGATAGATAAAACTGCAGAAAAGGGGAGTACTCGTTGACGACCTTGATCTTGACATATGTCAAGATCATCAACCTAAGTAACTTCCAACAAGTTTTAGCCGTCGCTCGTTATTTGTTAAAAAGTTATTAACAAATTTGTTAAAAAGTTTAAAAAATAATGTCTCTTCTACAGTATGAAACAAAAATTTCCTGCTTTAAAATATATTTTACGACTTTCCATGCAAAGAGACTCTTACCTCCCCCTTCTTTGGGGACGCACGACTTTCCGATGAAATATTTTTATACGACATGAGCAAAAGCGGACGCAAAAGAAATCAAAGGACGAGTGAATAAACCTGCTCTCGAGTGATCGTTGTGCAGAATCCCGTTGGATCTCACTTTCGTTTTATTGAGATCAATTGCCCGCACGCGGCTGTATTATTTATGTATGTCTCGTACAGTAAAAAAGGATTAAATTCATTAATGGTCATGTTCCCGCCTACTCGCCATGTCGCGTTGTAAAATTCTCAAAAATACTTCTGAATCACCATTAATGTTGCAGTTTTGACGTCGTTTGCATTTCCTCATTACAATAAGCTATAATATGTTATTGTCGAACAATATTGATACGTTGAATTTATTGACCATTATTAATATTTTTTACGATTTATTTAAATTATCTTAATGGCGTCTCGGAACTATTAGTCATTGTTACTTAGGCACCTCAAATTGACATGTACGATATATAATATAACTACTGTCAAATGTAATTACTATTTCAGTATAAAATAATAATTGTTGCTTGCGAAAACAAGTTTCACGCAGCATGAAAGATTCAGAGAGAGAGAGAGAGAGGGACTTAATTAACTGTCTTAAGATATATCAAATTTTATTTTGATCAAATTCTATTTTATCCAAATTTTATTTATTTCAATAATTTTATTATTATTTCTTAATGGAAATTATAACTTCGTAGATGTACCATTGAGTATATAAAATATATTTGAGAAGTATTCATTTTTAGTAAGAACCAAGATATTGCAGTAAAATACACTGCGTTAAAATAAAAAAAATTCTCAGAAAATTTATTTCGAAGATTATTATCTTCGTATTTTTTTGCATGTGAAACAAGAGTCTGCATGCAATCTATTGCAAGAAATTCACACAGATAGATATCTACATGTCGAGTCGCACCCAGCACAAAAACATTCTGCAATTAATTCACTTATATAGAGCTTTCACCATCTCTGGAAAAAGAACATCAAATACAGACAGAATTCATTTAGAGCTTTACAAAAAAATGGACACGAAAAAAAACATAATCAAAATAATCAATAAATGCAAACAAGATAACGATCTCTGACATAACTCTGAATCAAACGATAGGATCCTATTCATTCTTCTATATGTCAAAGGAATAATAGATCGAATTGACAGGATATTAAATACAATATCCGAACTATCTTCAAACCATTCAAAAAGATAGAACTCGAAAAGATAGAAAATCCTAAAAATCAAAGACTTCCACTTAGCTCCGGAGTATACAAAATATCTTGTTCCTGCGATAAAGTATACATTGGAGAAACTAGAAAAATGGTTAACCTACGGATAAAAGAACCAACGTGATGTCAGGCTAAAACACGTCACGCAATCAGCGTTATCAAAACACAACATCGAAACAGGACATCAAATACTGATGTACAAAATAGACCACAATAGCCATTATTACATCATACTTTCCAAGTATAGAGAAGTCATAGAGATACAAAAACACCCTAAAAATTTAAATAGAGATAATGGCTATAACATAAATAAAATATGAAAAATCATTGTCCCAGTGTGGTTATTGAAGACTAATCGATGGAAGTCTCAAGAATATTTTGAACCATATTATTGAAATCGGCTGCTTGTTCGATCTTCAATGACTGTTAGAATTGATTCATTAATGAGTCGGCTCTTTCGTTCGTTGATGCCATTAAGTTTAACGGTTTAATTAAAGCTAAATGATGCTAATCGATACATTTTATCACGTTTACACTTCTTTCTCGACAACGTTGTATATACTCGTTTTTAAAAAATAGAATTTTTCCCTTTAAAAATGAGATTCTCGTGATCAACACCGGCAGTTGCTTAATCGATTATCATTATCGATGATGGTTTAGCGATGTCGATAATGAGGCGTCAAACATGTATAAAATGATTTTACTCAAGTAATTCTACTTGACTAGATAATCTAGCTTTCGAACCAAAGAAAATTGAAAACCGTGCATCGTTCCCATTAATACGTGAGAACCTAATCAACTTTGCTACTGTTTAATAATGAGAACCGCTGCTCGAAATCCCTATGACGACCTGCTGCATGTAGTTTACATTTTAATGCGCGATAATGACCGGCATGCGTCGTCGTTGATTCATAACGGAATAATTATACTTGTCTGAGTATCGCGCTTCTCGTTCGAAACAAATTTTCATACAGAATATTTAATTTGTATGAAATATGCGTATTAATCTTCACTGAAACAGAAATGAGTGAATAAAATTATTAATTCAGAATAAGAATTTCATTCACTCAGGAATACTTATCTGGAGTGATTTTTTACACCTCAGAAGCGAGAAAATGAGTACTTTTTATCTATAATGACACCATTTAATGACAAAACGTTATTATTTCTTAGCGTTTAATAAATAATAATTACCCACGTAACACAGCAGTGCTTATAAAGCGCTAAAAAGTGTTTATGCGGATGTATTCTTTAGCAGTTCTTTAGCGCTTTTAAAGCCAAAATACAATAAATCAATATTTTTCTCATAATTCTGAGTTTTGTTATAATATAGTAAATAAAAGGTCTTTCCTTCAAAACTGAATACTGTAATTTTATTCTATTCAAATTTATTTATATCTTGAATCTTAACTGGGAAATTAATTCCTTTAGCAAATTTTTATATTTTTATGTATTATATTTTAAAGCCTTTTGTGGGTCCTTTTTTTGGGTATGCACAATGCACATTGAATTGAATATCTAAAACAATCATTATCATTGTTTTTTACATTGATACATACTTGTTTTTCTTTAATCCATTCTGGAAGTTCTATATATAATTTTTCACTTAACGGTATTATTTGTATTTGTTTATATTGATTTTTAAATAGTTTATTGTCTTGAATAGTTTATTGTCTTCAATGTCCAGCCTGAGCCTTTATTCTATAGTTCATCACATCTTGCTGTGAATAAATCCTTTTGTTCATTCTAATAGGTATCAAAACTATCGTTTCCATGGTCTAAATGGGTTAAGTTCCCTCATAATATAATATTAGATAACTGAAACTTGTGTGTAATTTCAGCTTCCATAATCGCTTTAAAATCGCATTCCAGTTCTAAATTAATCTTAATATTCTTATGAAGATTTAAAGCATTTCTAACAATATTAATAGCTTTCTCTTTTATTAAATTCATATAAGATCGTATATCTAAATCTCCTTCGTGATTATTATGTTGATATATTAATATTAATAATTTTCCTTTATAAGCAACTTCAACCAAAATAAAATCAAGTTCAGGATTATGCTTTGCTTTATGAAACGCTAGCTGGGTTCCTTTAACATATTTATCACATGTCTCATTTTATCTTATTTACTCGATTTTTCT